TTGAAAACCCAAATGTTTCTGTACTCAAATGAAATTCGCTTATTCCAGCGTAATGTGCCCGTTTAAACTCAACTAAAATTTTTAATCGATGCGATGAAAACTTCACAACAAAGCTGTCTCGAATTTGAGCGTGTTTCCTAAAATATTTGCTTGAATTTAGCATCAGCTTGACCAAAAAGTCAATAAAACAATGCTAATTGATAAATTTACATTTCAAACAAACTTTCTCTTCTATAAAAAAACACACAAAATGTACCTTAAATCTTCGCTCGCTCGATTTTCCTTCAGCCGATTCTAGCCGCGAAGAAAACAGTGATTAATTCATCCAGGGCAAATTTGTCGCTTGATCTTTTGTCTTTTGTGCTTCAAAACGACAGCTTAGTATTTTCTTCAACTTCCACTTTTCATCTGTGCATTTCATCGGTGTATTTTACGGTCAGGAGGGGAGATTTGTTGAATTTGCCTAAATTTTACCGCGCTAGCTCAGTTTCTTGGCGTGCAACCACGGGCAAATGGTAGTGGCGAACTAACCAATCAGAGCGCGCGATTTACTTTTGTTATGTTATAATAGTTTCTGGAAAACGGCTACTCTGGGATGGGGTGGGGGGGATTTTGGGAGGTTAGTCTAGTATAGGGTAGCAAAATTCACTTGAACGAGCTCTGGTATAGGCTAAGGGTTCCAGGGACCCAGCGACACATCCCCACCCAAACATTCCTTAAGTACCCCCCCCCCCTGGGGGTAAACCTTTATCCGCCTTGATAAAGATATTAAAAACCCGCCCCTAGTTAACCGGTAAAGACCTCGTCGACAACGGACTTGAAACTTCATCTTCCCCAGGAATTTAGCCTGTGAACAGGCTCTCTGTTTGGGGAAAAAAATAGCGAGGAGAGGGAAGGGAAAGTTGCCCCCTCCCCAGTTCCCCGCTCGACCAAAGGCGTGTTGACAACACGTCTTTAGAAAACTTAGAAAGCCTTCAGAGCCTACCATGTCAGGTTTCCTAACCGTTTTGTGAGCGTTCAGTTCCTCGAAGGGGATTGTACGGGGGGGGGGTATTCCCTTATATAAGCTATATAAATATATGCCGCCACATAGGGTAGGGTTTTTGCGCCGTTTGGTCTGAAAACGGGTATACACTTTGCCCATTTTGGTCTGGAATCGGGTTTGGTTGTTGAGGGAACTACGGGAGTGTACAAACGTCTTTATCGTTTGAATTCCAAATGAGTAAGAAAGAAAAAAAAATATGCAAATTAGAAATGGATTTAAAGAAGTGTTTTGTTTGCGCTCTAATCTTAGTAATGATAACATAATTTCTAACTAAAGGCCAGGGCTGAAAACGGGTATGGATTTTAGAGGTCTGGTCTGAAAACGGGTGCGGAAAATTACACTTTTTGCTCTGAAATCGGGTTAGGATTTGGAGAAGCGGGCGGGCACACCCCCGCCAAAAATTCCCAGGAGTACCCCCCGGGGGGAACGTATTTCAAGGACATTATTTGTTTCACACATTGTCACTTCTTCCAGGTCTGTTTTAGTCTTCTCTGTTGTCTTCTAAGCTTACATATAAAAAGTCAAGTATGTTCCAATATTTTTAGTAAGCCATATGAAGATTTCGCCATTTATTTATGTATACTGGGTCATACTGTAAAGTAAGCGTATTTTCAGTAAGTAGGGGTGGGTCGGGTGACTGTGGCAGGAAAATCTCAGAGAAGCCAACGAGCTTATAAGAAATAGAGATCCTCCCACCAGCAATTTAAATTATACTAGGAAGCATTTAAAAATAAAAGAAAGAAGACGTGAATAAGGATATAAGTATGTATACTGAATAATTATGTAGGTAGTCAGATATTTTACCTGCATCCTATCTTACCCTTAAAAATGGTTTCATTTATATGATCTTATAAGCCTTTCTCCATATCTCCTACAGGTCAATATTAGCGCACTTTCTTTGTCACATTAAAAAGACAAAATAATAATACAATAATAATATTTTGAAATGTGAAATGCCTGATAAACACTGTCATTTGTATCCACATACCATATTTAAATTAAAGAAACATCCGAAACGGTAGCTCAAACTTAACTCAATCTTGAATCAAACTCAACTCAAAATCCACACAGACACATGACTCAATCATTATCCTTAACTACCTTGTACTAGTTAAGTCTCATAAGGTAAACCATAATATAAGTAAGGTATAAGTCAGAGATAACAAGGACGTTTGTTTCAAGACCAAATATAAAATCTCTAATGTTGCCAATCTGCTACTACTTAACTTTGTTAGAACAGTACAACCCAAACAAAAACACAAGTTGTAGGTCAAACAATAAAGAGCTTTGGATTCTAAGATAAGGATGACAAAGAGAACAAGATTTTCTCAACACTTAGTAGTGCATGCACATCATCCAAGTAACTTTTCTGGTGAAAAAAAGTACAATGAAGATTTCTAGGGTTTCTATTTTTTGAGAAAACGCAGAAACAAAATTTAAGTTAAATTTTGTCTTCATAGTCGTCCTCATCCTTGAATCTAAAGGTCTCTAATGCTGCCGTAAAATATAAAATTTTTTATTGTCCCTCAGTTTTATAAAGTGATAATCTAAAATTATACCCATGTATTATGTTATTATTACTCACAATGAACCTGTGATAAAGGGTCAATTTAGTTAGCCTGAATTTCTAACGACTACTTCGAGTCGTTTTTACTCCCCTCAGTAACGACGTTGCTGAAGGGAGATAACGACCCAAAGTAAACGTCTGAAATTCAGGCTACAATTTGATAAAACTTATGAAGTTTAATCTACAAGGATAGCAACTGTACTATTCAGAAAGCAACAGTTCGCCGCCGTGTCAAATTGCATTGTCTTTTAAAAGTTTCATTCAATTTCTCCCTGTTTCAGTTCACATTGAGTCCTAGTTAGAAAATAGAGGATATTACTTAGTCCCCAGGGCTCTCCCCCCTTTGGGCGGAGCACTCAGTCCCCAGGGCTCTCCCCCCTTTGGGCGGAGCACTCAGTCCCCAGGGCTCTCCCCCCTTTGGGCGGAGCACTCAGTCCCCAGGGCTCTCCCCCCTTGGGCGGAGCACTCAGTCCCCAGGGCTCTCCCCCCTTGGGCGGAGCACTTAGTCCCCAGGGCTCTCAAAAAAACATAAATAAACTTATCTTTTTACTTACCTTTTTTACCTACCTTTTGTTCTTTGTTGTGTTCTTTTGGATAGTTGGTTTCCGGCGGTCTTTTGGGTACTTTTTAGTTGTAATTCCCGGGATGTATTTTTGCTATACTTTTCCCTCTACTTTTCACTTCTTTTCGTTGTGGGTTCACGCTCAGGAATTCAGCTCTGGGTAAGTTTTCGTTTTGTTTACGAAACTTACTTTTCTTCACTGAATTCAAAACCGTAAACTTCTTTTAGATTTTGAAATTTTTCAGTGTCAGGCCTGAAGAGGTTTAATTTATAACTACATACAACATGCAGTTGTCTTGGTGTATATACCAAACCCGAATTGTCAGAGAGAAAAAAACTCACATCAAAGTTATTGGAAAGAAAGATGCAGCATGAAAAGAAATATAACTTAACCGCTCAGGCTCGAGAGCTTATTAGAAATAATGACCGAGGGCTTACTTTTCCATTATTTTAAAACTAGCAGGTTATCATTATGGTCACTGAATTGAAACAGTAGGTTATTATTTCTAATAATGACCTTCTGTTCCACCTCAACGACCTGTTATTATAATTTACCTGAAATAATAACCTGTTAAAAACAATGGAAAATTGCATGAAGAACCCGACTAACCGACTCTGTTGTGCAAAAAATGAACTTACCATAGGTTTGGTATATACCGAATAAATGAGAGACACACAAATGAGTTGGCTGCATATCCTTGTTAAGGAAGGTGGCAGTGCTTTTATTGTTATTTTGAAGGCTTTCCTGAAAGGCAGTTTGTTCTTCTTTTCTTTATGGTCAGGCAGTACCTATTAAAAAATGGAAAGCGTTATTTGTTGTTGTAAATACTACTGTACCAACGTATTAAGAATTGCACTCTGAATTAACCTTATTTTCTCGTTTAACTGGTTTCTCGTTACCTTTAGTTTTATTTACACCTGTCTTGCCCCTCTGTCGACTATTATCTTATGTTAGCCTGAACTCGTGCCGGGAAGCATTATAATTCTCTCACGGTGCAAGCTAAGCACTCTACGCCAAAATTTCTAACAGTTGGTTTGTTAAGGTCGCGGTTAATCAAATATAAAAGCATATAGTCTGAGTCAGAGTAATGAAAAACTGTCCAACGTTTGAAGTATATTTTATAAGTGTTGTCTACAGAGGTTAACACTTCTTTAATCAAAGTGAAAATTCAGCTACATGGACATCAACAAAATAGGCCTACTTGACCCTAACAATCGCAACTCGCGTTTATCTTGTTGACTACACGTAAACGTTTATTACATTTTTGTTCCTCCGGTTGAACATAACAAAGGGACCGTACATGTTCACAAGTAACTTCGAGAGATAACAACACACAGATGAAAGAATTATGACAGAAAATTGGTTATGTAAAATCTAATTTCTTTCTGCAGAAAAAATTAATCAGTAAGAACCGTTAAAGCAATTTGGACGCTTAACACCGTTGCTTTAAATTGACTTATAACTTTTTTCAGAAAAAAGTAAACGATAGCGTAACCAAAAGTTATATAATTAAAGTTGAACTAAGAACAAACCTGCTGTTTTCGAGGAGGCAAAAGAGAATCTTGACTTTCATTCCAGACCAGAGATCGCTTAGCTGAGTTTGGTCTTCACTACACCGTAGGTAAAGCAAGGTACGGAGGTCGCTGGCTTTAAACACAGTTAAATCAACTTGAAATCGGTTTCTCCATTTATACGATCGCTCAATTAAAATTCAAACCAGTGTGAGAAATGTTTCTGATAAATCTTTTCTTGAAACTGTATGTGAGAAAAGCACGCACTCTATGTTCAACAATGGGCAATCAAAGCCTAAATTGGTCACATTCAAAGAAAAACGTTTGCCGACTCGCTCAATTACATAACGTACGTAGCTCTTGGTTGCAAACAGTGCTAGTGGATAAGCATGGGACTTGACAATACATTGAGAAAAGAACGTACTCGGTTCATCAATGAACAATTAACGCTTGAATTGGACGCATTCAGAAAAACAAATACCGTCTTGATTAAAACTTGACAAATGGATGACAAAACTGGCTAGCGAATGAGTAGACAATAGGCCTTTCGCCCCAAGAGAAATTGAAAACAATGCTAATGCAAAATTTTGGAGGGACAACAAAGAGTATCATGGTATTTTTGAAAAAGGCCTATAGTCTTGTGAATTACCTCAAGTTAGCCCCTGAATAAATTTAAAAGTACCGGGAAAGAAAAATACAAACTTTCCAAACTTCTTAGTAGACAATAAAGGCGAAGAAAGTTGAGGAAAACTAGAGTTAAAGAATTTCTAGCACAAGAACCATTTTGACTCCTACCATTTGATTGCTTAGTGATGTTGATCACCACTATCAGTTTGACAAAACTAATGAATATGCCAAGACTACAATAGCCTGTTTTGCATCCGCTCGTCACGACTAAAGTTAAAAGTGCGAAAAAGCGAAAATTCAAACTATAAAAACTTTTAGGTAGACAAAAAAATCTTTCATTAGAAAAGCGCAGCAAGTTGAGGAAAGCTTTTGATTAAAATTTCCAGTTAACAAAATCACTTCTATCACACTGACACATAAAAAGCTCGCGTTCAACGAAAATGCCGCGAAAAACACAATATTGAGGAGGTCATTGATCATAGCATGGGGTTATTAGTTACTGGGGTCACAAGAATAGTGCAGCGGATTTATGTGATCACATGCATCAGGCCCGGCTGGTACAAACTCTTCCCCCAGCCAGTCATTTCATTTTCGTTTATAGCTTTGCTTGATTTTGCTCGATCGCGAGACCACCCTTCAAAAGGAACTGGGACCAGTTAGCGAATATCCACATGACGTCACGGCGGCGATATTGGTGCTCCAAACAAATTCTTCCCTACTTTACTATTTTCTTACTTAAGATGCTTTGTACTCTGCTTACTTGAGATGCTCTGCTTACTTGATATGCTTTGCTTGCTTGAGATGCTTTGCTTGCTTGAGGTGCTTTGCTTATAGGTACTTGAAATGCTTTGTTTGCTTGATGTGTTCTTCTTACTTAGTTGAGATGATTTGCTTGCTTGATGTGCTCTGCTTACTTGAGATATGAAAGGAAGTCAAAAACAGACCTGCACGGACTCCCAAAGTGGTTTTTGTGGTTGCGTCGCATTATCAAATGCCTTCGAGTAACATTTTTGCTCTTACAAGCGTGTCTTTCAGAGATTTGCCTCTTTGGTAGCATATGATCGGAGGTCTTTAAAAATTGTTTTCAGCAGAGGCTGGTTTTCCATTAGACTCCAGTTTGCCATCAATGTCTTTTTAAGATCTGGGTGATATGTTGTAACAACTTTGCAAAGAGGGCCAGTCCTGTGTCTTAATATTTCGACCCCTCACATTTGGTGCATTTTCAAAAATTGAGCCCCCCAAAACAAGCCTCTTAGAAAATTGTACCCCCCCCCCCCTCCCTCCTCCCTTTTAACGAAAAGGGAATTAGTCTTATTGAATCAGGATGAGTAAGAAATCTGAGTAAACTGCAATTAATGAGTCATTTAGATTTACTTGAAAGTGATTTTAATTTATCTAGCTGTATTTAATAATTTTGTTTTCGTCCAAAGCGCCTTTTAGCGTCCACTCGATTTTTGTATAACTTGGTATCACTAATCGCAAGTCACAAAACCACGTCGAACAGACATTTTGTTTCTTGTACAAACTGCCGATTCCAATACGACTCCTCCGAAGTGCTGCTCCTGTCCGATCTTGACTGCTGGCCGTCATGTTAGGATCCTGGCACTTGACTCCTTAAACAGTACAAACAAGGAACGCAGAATCACTCCAACAAAAACACAGCACAGACATGGCGGTTTTTGGATAAACATAAGGCCTATCCGATGAGTACGAGCCAAGTGTCACTTTCGGCCCGTCTGTTTCACGAGCGGAGACTTTTTCAGTGATGACTTTAAGCTCTCGACTTTTCTGTAGGAAAACCTCCGTTAAAGACTCAAATAACTACGATTTGTCAAGTCATGCTGTAACCAAGTCAGACTTCTATCCAATCACAATAAACGAGCGGACTTGATCAGCCAATGACATTCTCCGTTTGGTGACGCTGGAGTATTTTCCCGCGCTTTGCATGAGCTGCCACGGCGTCCATGTTTGCCATCCTTTGCACGGGTTAAAAGTTTACACGTGCATGACAATGGATGAATGTTTTTACTGAGCTTGGCACATAATTTAATGGCGTTCTGATTGTTTAATAAAGTTCAAAGAGGCACCTTTTTTCAATTCTCTTTCTTTTCTTCAGAAACGGCTTCTTCCTTTTTCCCAAATATCTTGCTTTTCAACTTAGACAATGCCGCCTTTATCTTCCCAATCGGACCAGTACTTTTGGTTGAGTCCACAGCTTCAAATCTCCGAGAGGAGAGATTGTGGAAAGAGCCAAAGGCAATTGCCACAACAGTGCAAGCGAGACAGATTACATTGTACGGCATACTAAAATCAGGGGTGGGGAGGGTGATGAGTAGAATTTCGGTGTGGAGACGAAGAAACACCTCATCTTGTGGTGCAGCCTCAATGCTGAAAAGATATTACAGAAAATTACATCGAATGTTTTTGTAGAGTTTAATAGGAGAGAATGTTAGCCGGTCACTGATAAAGAAGGCATACGGAGCAGAAAATGAACCTTAGACATCCGAAATACTTATAAATGTAACGGACTCACTACTCATGTAGGAATCCTTAAGCCCCGTGCAAACAGACGAGATCATCGCAGTTATATACGCAACTTATGCAGTTGCGAAAAGAAAGCCTGAAAAAAAATTCAGGGCGTGAAAAAAATTCAGGCTTCTACGGGATTGAAACCCTTGACCTCTGCGATACGGGTGCAGCGCTCTACCAATGAAGCTAACAAGCTAACTGGGAGCAGGTCGTTGAATCGGTTCGTTATAAACCCGTGAACGACGTAAACTCATATATTCATAATTTCACTAGGCAAGTTGACATTATATATTATTAAGTTTCACTAGGTAACACTGATATAATGCTTGGGAGACATTTTTTTTAACGAAGCTGTGATTTTTTCTTTCACAAGTAATTTTTCACGTTCAATAGCGCTGCTTACACAGAGATTTCTTTGTAGATGAGGTTTCTCAAAGGTCTCAAAACCTTTACGGGCCCAGAAAGTTATACTGACATTAACGCAGGGAATTAAAGATTTACCTTTTTAAATACATTTTAATTACCGGATATAAGAGACCTTCATTCGTAGGAGTCTTAAGTTTTTAAGTGTTCAGTTACCTTGGAAACAGAAGGGATGATTGTCGTGAGGGACCAGTGTAATTCAGCGGGCTGCGAAGTTTTGTGGAAATCACAGCTGAACTGAAAGAAAAAGGAGGCGTTTGGAATATAAGTGGATGAAAATGTCCTTGATTACTGTACTTAGCAATTACTAACAGGCAAACAACAATAAAACTTAAATAATGGAGAGATGACCATCGGATCTCAGTCGCAATGTTATTTTTTTTTTTCATCGTTTTTTATTGTTGTTAAGTTGAACTAATAAACTGACATGACCGATAAGACAAAATTTATGTGGTCTCTTTTACATGGCTGTTCTGTTGATTATTCTACAGCATGTGGCCTGTTCACGGACCCTCTATTTTCTCTTCAAAGTCCGTCGAGCGCGCGTGATAAAAAATAAAAACCGCGGGGATTTATTGACCGTCAGCACAAGGGGGTAGGGGTGAGGGAAGAAGAAAATTTCTGGCGCTCGCCGATTGTCGAAAAGAACGAAAAGAAATATTAAACAACGTCAGTGTACAGGCTATATAGCATGTGAGGAAAGTTCAAGAAATTTTCCTGTAATCTGATTGGTTAATTTTGGTTAGCTGTCCTTACAACAGTCGTTGCATCGTAAAATGTCAAAATACTACACTGCTTATACTCTATTCATTAGACGCCTCCAGAACTTCATGATCACATTGTAAGAGTCTGTTCTTTATGAATTATCCAGGGTATTTAAAAAGATATGTTCACCTTACGGTCTTCATCCTACAATTTGCGCGGAAATCATATCCTGGCCCTTCCCAACCCAAAAACAACGACTTACGGTCTGCACTCTTTTTCATACTTAGCTAGCAAAATATGGAACTCTCTCCCAGACACTTACAAAACATTAAATTTTCTAGAATTCAAGCAGGAGATCCTCAGATATGAAGCTTTTCCACAGTATATTTACAAGTTATATTTCCCTCTGCATGCATAATGTTGTATATAGTTTATAAATAATATTGGAATTGTAATATAGCATTTTTTTATTTTATTTTAACTTATTTTCTCGAATATATTAGCTCTACAGCTACTCTGTAAATTTCGAGCATAAATAAAGTATATGTATGTATGTATGTATACTCGATATAGAAGCCATAATGGCGTTAGGGGGTGCTCTATCCAATTCAGAATCCTAATCTGATTGGTTAATTTTGTTAACCTTGTAACTGTAGTCGCACTGTTAAAGGTCAAAATTCCATACAACCTCGTCCGCAGGGCGCTTTTCCCTGGCTTTGGAGGTGGGGCGCCAGGGAAAAGCGCCCTAGGGACGAGGTTGAATTCCATATTGTTTATACCTGATATAGAAGCCATGATGGGCATCAGGGGGGTGTTCTGTCCACTTCAGAAATCCTTTATGGAACTGTATACTAAGTTCTGTCACAGAGTTGGGTGGTAGAGTCAGCAGCATTTCCAGCGTGTGGGGTCTCAAACGATCCTTAGCTGGTGTCACATGGATGATATCTGGACAAAAAGTAAATTTACAGTGATAAATTTTAAGCTAAAAATGAATGAGAGTTATCATAATGAACATGTCACAAGAGAGTGGAGAAAGAAAAACAACCCAAGAAGTCCTGAAAGGATTCAAACCTTTGACCTTATACCGTTTATATGGGGAAAAGTTGTCTCGGGAAAGAGACAGCCGAGTCATCTTTAGTGAGCTTTTATATGAAAAGAAAGTTGATCCCGTTGACTGAGCCAAAAAATGAGCTCTTCCCTCTGTGTGTCACCTAATTTGTGCCTGGTGACAATGTTTTGATGCATGCTAGTGTACTTTGCTCTGGTAATCTACCATTCTGGGGACAATGAGGGACTACAGTCAAGTCTCTCTAAGACAGACACCTTTGGGACCCGCACTAAGTGTCCGTCTTAGAGAGATGTCCGTCTTATAGAGAGTCAAATAAAGGGAGTAAAGGAAGGCAGGGACCAACTCTAAGTGTCCGTTTTACAGACGTGTCCGTCTTATAGAGGTGTCCGTTAAGAGAGAATCAACTGTACTTGTAGCCTAGGTGACTTTACGGTAGCTTTTTCCTGGGTTATAGGAAGAAAGAGAAGCTCAAGTATTGAGGTCATACTAGGTTTGATGTCTTTGCCTTCACTCCTGATTGTAAGAGTATGAAGAAAGATCCTGAGGAACCATGGGAAGGTGGCAAAGTATACTACTGGCAGGGGATCGGTGGGGTGGTGATTGTGCAGCAGAGACGTGATGCCACCCTTCTCTTCACCATAACCTGCAAAATAAGAAGGAAAAACCATCCACTTCAGAGAGGCCGTACAAGGTGGCGTCAAGACGATGAAAGGTATGTTAAAGACAAAAAGTAGTTAAAAACACATTTGTTTGGTATCCTGATTTGGTATGGAGGTAAACTGCTGATGCATCCATTCAGAAATAAGCCAAACATGTGACATGAGTGTTAAAAAACTGCGGTACATAAAGAAACAACGCAAATGTACCACTGCATAAATTTCCCATTGTTCCAACATATATTACACAAGAAATGTAGGCTAAGTTAAATGAACTTGTGATGAAGGGATATAGAATGGTTCCCCACAAAAATGGGTCTCAAATTTTGAAGCCTGGGTCTGGCGGTCTTGCAAAGTCTCAAATTTGCCATTCTATACCCCCTGATGTGGTCATTTAAAATGAGAGCATTTTCATCTGCTGCTATTCCTCTTGTCAGAGAACATTTAGGGAGCTGACCATTGCATGGCAATCCAAAACAACTGCGTAGAAAG